AAAGGGGAGTTAACAGGGATCAGTTGGTGACAACATCTTGGCACAGTGGCAGTTGGCATTACCTTTAAAAGAGTTTGTGTAGTGTTGAGTTAAAAAAATAGTCACAACCTAAAAGTTGACAGTTATGTTTTATTCAGTGGGAATTTTTAGGACTTCAAGCCTGGGAGAGAGCATTTCAAGTGATCCTGAGAGAACTGCTCTGGGCAGGGGGAGAAGTCAGGTTATATAGAAGTTTGCAACAAAGGGTAGGTAATCTGAATATCAGAAGTATTTTCATGAATTAAAGAAAACCAGATATCTCAAGTTTAGGAGTTTAGCACTTTCCTATGTATGGCAAGATGCAAGAGTCTAGGCTCACTTTTCATATACATTGGCTATCTGGGGCCATTATCATGTTTCTCCTCAGTGCTCACCATAGGGAGTGGCTGCGGCCTGAAAGCTGCTGGATGGTAGGTGTTGGTCTCCTTCCTGGTTGCCCTGGAAGGCTGGAATTGCTGATGATTATGACAGGAAATACTCCATTTCTCAGTTGGGAATTCCCTCATGTTCTAGAGGATAAGAATCCACCTGCCAATGCAGGGGATGGGGGTTTGACCCTGGATCTAGGAAGATCCCACATGCCACAGGACAAATAAGCCCATGTACCACAACTACTGAGCTGGAGTGCCCCAACTACTTAGCCTATGCTGCAAAAACCAAAGCCCACATGCTTAGACTGACTGCAATGAGAAGTCTGAGCACCACAACTAGAGAAAGAAAGGCAAAAAAATAGAGCTTGGGGGTTTTAAGGAGAAAGGAAGAGAAATGATGAAATGATTTGGGGCAACATGAGAAGTTGGTTCAAATATAAGAATACCTATGAAAGGAATAATATTCTCCTGTACTTGAAATGTTGTAAGGGAGGTAGAAATGTTGTAAGGGAGGTGAGAAAAGAGAAGTTAAAGACAAAGGAGAAAAGGAAATATATACCCATCGGAATGCAGAGTTCCAAAGAACAGTAAGGAGAGATAAGAAAGCCTTCCTCAGTGATCAGTGCAAAGAAATAGAGGAAAACAATAGAATGGGAAAGACTAGAGATCTCTTCAAGAAAATGAGAGATAACAACAGCACATCTCATGCAAAGATGGGCACAGTAAAGGACAGAAATTGTATGGACCTAACAGAAGCAGCAGATACTAAGAAAACGTAGCAAGAATACACAGAACTATACAAAAAAGATCTTACTGACCCAGATAACCACAATGGTGGTTATCACTCACCTAGAGCCAGACATCCTGGAATGTGAAGTCAAGTGGCCCTTAGGAAGCATCACTACAAACAAAGCTAATGGAGGTGATGGAATTCCAGCTGAGCTATTTCAAGTCCTAAAATATGATGCTGTTTAAGTAATGCACTCAATATGCCAGCAAATTTGGAAAACTCAGCAGTGGCCACAGGACTGGAAAGGTCAGTTTTCATTCCAATCCCAAAGAAAGGCAATGCCGAAGAATGTTCAAACTACCGCACAACTGCACTCATCTCACGTGCTAGCAAAGTAATGCTCAAAATTCTCTAAGTGAGGCTTCAACAGTACATGAACTGAGAACTTCCAGATGTTCAAGCTGGATTTAGAAAAGGCCCAGGAATCAGATATTAAATTGCCAACATCCATTGGATCATCAAAAAAGCAAGCGAGTTCCAGAAAAAATCTACTTCTGCTTTATTGACTACGCCAAAGTCTTTCACTGTGTGAATCACAACAAACTGTGGAAAATTCTTAAGGTAATGGGAATACCAGATCACCTTACCTGCCTCCTGAGAAATCTGTATGCAGGTCAAAGAGCAACAGTTAGAATTGGACATGGAACAATGGACTGGTTCCAAATTGGGAAAGGAGTACGTCAAGGCTGTATATTGTCCCTGCTTACTTAACTTATATGCTGAGTACATCCTGCTAAATGCTGGGCTGGAAGAAGCACAAGCTGGAATCAAGAATGCTGGGAGAAATATCAATAGCCTCAAATATGCAGACGATACCACCCTTATGGCAGAAAGTGAGGAGGAACTGAAGAGCCTCTTGATAAAAGTGAACGAGAAGAGTGAAAAAGTTGGCTTAAAACTTAACATTCAGAAAACTAAGATCATGGCATCCAGTCCCACCACTTCATGGCAAATAGATGGGGAAACAATGGAAACAGAGACAGACTTTATTTGCTTGGGCCTCAAAGTCACTGCAGATGGTGACTGCAGCCATGAAATTAAAATATGCTTGCTCCTTGAAAGAAAAGCTATGACCAACCTAGACAGCATATTAAAAAGCAGAGACATCACTTTGCCAAGAAAGGTCCTATAGTCAAAGCTATGGTTTTTCCAGTGGTCATGTATGGATGTGAGAGTTGGACTGTAAAGGAAACTGAGCACTAAAGAATTGATGCTTTTGAACTGTGGTGTTGGAGAAGACTCTTGAGAGTCCCTTGGACTGCAAGGAGATCAAACTGGGCAACCCTAAAGGAAATCAGTCCTGAATATATTTATTGGAGGGACTGATGCCAAAGATCCAATACTTTGGCCACCTGATGCAAAGAACTGACTCATTGGAAAAAACCTTGATTCAGGGAAAGATTGAAGGTGGGAGGAGAAGGACGACAGAGGATGAGATGGTTGGATGGCATCACCAACTCAATGGACATGAGTTAGGGCAACCTCCGGGAATTGGTGATGGACAGGGAGGCCTGGCGTGCTGCAGTCCATAGGGTCACAAAGAGTCAGACATGACTGAGCAACTGAACTGAACTGAAGGGAGGTAGTTCTGCTGGGCAATAAACCAGTCTTCCCAGGTGGCTTAGAGGTAAAGAATCTGCCTGTTAATGCAGGTGATGTAGGTTCAATCTTTGGGTCAGGCAGATCCCCTGGAGTAGGAAATGGCAACTCATTCCAGTATTCTTGCCTGGAAAATCCCATGGACAGAGGGGCCTCCTGGGTTACAGTCCATGGGGTTGCAAAGAGCTGCACACTACTGAACACACACACACCAGCTTTCTGTCAGAACAGGACAGAAAGAAGATTGATGGGAAGATTTAGAGAAGAGGTGAAGTATAGAGGAAATGGGTGATAACAGATGTTCAAATCTAAAGGGTGGAGTGAAATGGTTTAGGACGGTTGGTGAAGAGCAGGGTACTGAATCAGATTAAAAGACAGAGAGAGTAGAATGGAGATGTTAATCAGGGTAATGATAGATGACCCTGAGGCTATCCGGTTCTGACTGAGTGAAAAGGATTGTAGAACAAGAGAGATTATCTTTTTTGTAATCTCTTAGAATGGAAAGGAAGGTTGGCAAACTGTTTAAGAAGAGTAATACAGAGCTACACAAAGTGTTCTTTCAGGTGTTGTGTTATGGAGGATACCAGACTAGAATAGCTAATATTTCTCTTGGGTTTTTTTTTCATTTATTAATAGTTATGAAATATAGGCTATAATTTCCTTCCAGTGTTATAATGGTCAGGTTTTGATGACAGGATTACGATCATCTTTCAGAACACGCTGGGATTTTTTTCCCCGAGTGTTTTTACACTCTGGAACCACCTGGCCTAGTGCATTTTGATGCAGGGTGTTATCTTTGAGTACATTTTCAATTTAATTGATCTAGTCAGATTTGCTACATTTTGAAATGGTTTTTATTTATATCTTATTGTTAGAAGCATTTTTCCGATTTTATGTCTTGTGTCACATGTCGAAAAATAAACATTTTTCTCATTCCCAGTGCTAGCATCATTCTACTTGAAAAATCTCCAAGGCTCTACTGGAAAGAACACACAGCAGAGCTGATGGTGAAGCGGCCAAAAACTGAGAAAGTGAACTTTAAATTGATTCCCAAGAACGTTTGCTGCTGACAACATACCAACCTGCCCACTCCGAGGCTTGCTTTAGTGCTGTTGAAAGCCGTGCAAAAGGTTTTAGCTCATAGATTGTAACTTGCTGGGAGAAGACGCGGGAAGGTAACCGAACTGTTGGAGCCCTGTAGCGCTGGGCAATTTAACCTATTTTCAAGTGATCCCACCAAAGGAGTAAAATGCTTGCACCCAGGGCTCGTGGGAAAAACTACTACTTTCAACAAAAGCTGAAAAGATGTTAAAAAAAAAAAAGGAAAACTAGAAGCCTTTTCAGTCTCCGACGTACGTGAAACGAGACTGGGTAGCCGACCAGATGGAAATCCCGTTTTCTTAACGCAGACTGGATTTGCGCTGTCAGCTCCCGGTTGGATCCATCCCACCCAAATCCAGCTCAGTGGTGGCATGCTTTTTTTCCCCAGCCTGTTCGCAAACTACCTTCCGAAGTGAGGTTTCCCGCCATTTCAGTTAAGAAATGGAAGGTCTCTTCCCGGAAGATTTTCCGGGCTCGCTGGAGGCCCGAGCCCACACGGCTTTCCCCGCAAGGCAAGTAGCGGCATGCCCTGGGCGGCCGCAAGCATCGTGATCCCGGGGGTTGAGCCAAAAGGTGACAGCAGACTAACAGATAAAGCGTTTTAGCCCCCGCCGAAAAAGCCGGAGAGCGAAAACCGCCAGCTGTGGCGAAGCGAACGCCGGGCGGGTCGGGCGCGGGCCCAGGGCCCGCGCGGGTCAGAAGGGAGGAGCGCGGCCGTTGCAGGGAGGAGCGAGGCTTGGGGGCGGAGGGCGGGCGCGCGCGCCAACACGACTCCGGATTGGCCGGCTCCAGAGAGCCGAATTACGTCAGCCGGCGAGAACGTCGGATTTGTGTGGTGGGCGCGGGCGGGCGGCAGGGGGAGGCCTACTGCGCAGGCGCAGCGGCTGGGCTTCGTCCGCCCCCGGCTCTCGGGCCCAGCTCTCGCGGACAAGTCCTGACGCGCGCGCGCCCCCCTCAACCTCCGCCCTCCGGGACCGCCCCCTCCCCTGGCTCGGCCTCGTCGGAGATAAACAATAGTTGGCTGGCGAGCGCCGAGGGTGCCTCCCGCCGCGGGGACTCGGCGGGCCGCGCGGGACCGGCGGGATCGCGGCCAGCCGGCCATGGCGGGGCTGTACTCGCTGGGAGTGAGCGTCTTCTCCGACCAGGGCGGGAGGAAGTACATGGAGGACGTTACCCAGATCGTGGTGGAGCCCGAGCCGGCGGCCGAAGAACCACCCTCGCTGCGGCGATCGCCCTCGCGGCCGCCGCCTCCGCCACGGTCACCGGCGCCCCCGGCCGGCGGCGAAGTGTCGGGGAGAGGCGGCGCGGGGGCCGCCCGGGAGGCTCTGGCGGCTCCGCCGGACGCCGGGGCCTCGCCGGCTCCCGGCCGCTGCTGCCGCCGCCGCTCCTCAGTGGCCTTCTTCGCCGTGTGCGACGGGCACGGCGGGCGGGAGGCGGCGCAATTCGCCCGCGAGCACCTGTGGGGTTTTATCAAGAAGCAGAGGGGCTTCACGTCGTCCGAGCCGGCGAAGGTGTGCGCCGCCATTCGCAAAGGCTTCCTCGCCTGTCATCTCGCCATGTGGAAGAAGCTGGGTGAGTTCCCGGCTTGCTGCGGCCGCCCCCCTCCTCTTCTCCCGGCAGTTCGGGGCTTTCTGTCTCGCCGGCCCCGCGAGCCCCCCAGCCCCCGGCCACCGAGGGCGCTCTCTGTGTCCATCGACGGGAGGGAAAACTCCTGGGTCTCTCAGCGCGCTTTCCAGGATGGGGGGCTCCGGGCAAACGAAAGTGGCTTTTCGGAAGGAGAGGGTTGAGGTCTCCTTTCCGAAGTCCCTCGCTTTATTTCCACCGCCCCCCCGGCCAGGATCGGTGGTTAGCCGTCCCCTCTTCCCTTCGCTACTCCACTCTGGTGGCAGCCAGCCGGAGAGCGTGTTTGAAACCTGGCGCCAGATTTTGGCCAAAAGATGCACTGAAGACGTGTTGCTACCCAGGACGCGCGAAGGAAGCGGGAGATGGCAAAAAAAAAAAAAGTGTCTCCTTCGAATCTGTCAATTTTGCTGTTGAAGGGCTTGTTCCTATCGGTGGCCTCCTACCGGCGGTGACAGGCCTCCAAAATTGAGCTCGGGTGACTGGTAGTTGGAGTAAGCTGTTGGCTATAGTAGAGAGGCTAAAAAGTTATCATCCAGCGACTTAGTTAATTGATGTCAGAGAGTTCTCAACGGTTTCCACGTAAAAGTGTTTGTAAATTGTAGATACCCATCAAAGTAGGAAGAGATAAAGAATTATTGATGTGCCAAAAGGAGTTGGAGACCCTACTTTCTAAAAATTCGATGTAGTTGTAGTTTCATCGAAGCTTTGAATGTGTTCTAAAGCAGCCGATGTTTCTGTACCCAATCTATGTTATCATAGAGTTGTAGGTGCTTAGGCTTTGCTGTGAATGAATGGCTTGAATCTTTTTTTAGAGAAAACACAATACCGCTTCTGTTATTTAAGAAAGTCCTCTTGTTTAAGGTAGCATAATGTTGCTTTATTTTCAGCAGAGGGACAGAGACATAAAGAAGAGTGTAAAGGTTAATCAAATACAGAAGATTTTTAAAAGGTATTGTCATAGAGTTGTAGACTAGCTTTTTTCAAAGTCTGTTTTCTATTTGCCTGGATTTCTGCCAAGAATTATTTGATTGACTCATAGAACCTCCAGTCCGCCTGTGGGAGGCTGTTTCATCCAATCCCAGAGGCCCCTATTATGGGTTTGTTTTGTTTTTGTGTAGGCAGAGCACAGCTGAAAGCACCAGCAGCATATTCCAGAAATTTGTCATTTCATTGCTTGCAGGGCAAGTGGGAGTGGACAGCAAGACAAGATAGAGGAAAATTAGACACGGAGAATATTTAGAGTCCTGTGTTATTTTGCAGTACACTTGGAGCAACATAAATTTGCCATGTGTTTTCACTGAAAGGATAAAATATAAGCCCTGTTACTTGAACATTTTTTAATAAAGCAGAAATCCTGCTGTTAAATGTGAATGTGTATGTCTTTTGACATATATGTACTTTTTGAACCAAGATTTATACACCAAGTGTTAAAGCTTACTTTCTTCCCACAGTTAACCTTATACTCCATCATCGAAACTTGAAGAAAAAAAGAGTAGGCTGCGTATATGGAAGTCTTGACAAACACAGTCTTCCTGTGTGTCAGATTATAGTAGTGCTTCTCAAACTTTTTGCTGTCAGAACCCTTTGTACTCACATGATTCCGGATTCTAAGCAGCTTTTGTTTATGTGGGCTACATTTATTATATTTTACTGTGTGAGAAGTTAAAACTGAGAAATTTAGGGGCTTCCCTGGTGTGCCAGTGGTTAAGAATCTGCAAGGGATGCCAGTTCCATCCCTGGTCTGGGAAGATCCCACATGCCATGCAACAACAGCCTGGGAGCCACAACTGCCTGAGCCCTGTGATGCAACTGCTGCAGCCTGGATGCCTGGAGCCCGGGCTCTGTAGCAAGAGAAGCCGCTGCAATGAGAAACCCAAGAACTGCAGTGTTAAGAGTAGCCCCCTGTGGCTGCAACTAGAGAAAGCCCACATGCAGCCAGGGAGACCCACCACAGCCAAAAAACAAATAAATAGATCTTAAAAAAAACAACCACAAACCCCAAACTGAGAAATTAATGAAATTTAATCTCTTAAAAATAAGCTTATTGTGTATTGACATTTTAAAGTGAAAAATCACTTTTCCCCCTAAAATGAGAAATATTGAAATAAATATGCTAATCTTTTGCCCATTTTTTGTTTCTTTGAGTTTTGAGAGATCTTAATACATTCTGGATACAAGGCATTAATTAGATATACAATTCGAAAACATTTTCTCCCAGTCTGCAGCTTGTCTTTTCATTATTTTAGCATTGTTTTTTAAAGAGAAATTTTTAATTTTGGTTATATCAAATTTATCAAGTTGCTTTATATGGACTGTGTTTTTGATATCCTAATAAAATTTCTTTTTGGTCTAAAAAAATAATATTCCTGTATCTGCCTCTACATTCAGTCTGTTTTGGTTAGTGAAGTATGTAAAGGAAAGGCAGTCTCACACACATATGTAGTAGAAAAAGGGAGGAATAGTTTGTCTTTTCAGATAATTGTGGATATTCCACCCCAAAGTGGTAGTTTAAGATTAGTCAAAGGGGAATCTGAAACATCATCAATGAACTTTTCTATTTTAGCAGTAAGAGCCATTGGTTTCTCTTGCACTTTGAATCAGCCTTTTACCCACATGGTTCTTGTGGCATGGCACATGAGTCATTTGGAAAATAATGGTTCACTGAATTATGTAGATCTTCCAAGTATTGATGCGTTTCATTATACAATATTAAAGTACTCACATTTGGTAATATCACTGATCTCATCAGAAAAGTCTTAAGCTTGGGAAGTTATCAAGTTTATTGTCGTCACTACAAGGTTGTGGATACACGTATTCTAAAATATGAGGTTTGGGGACTTCCCTGCTGGTTCAGTGGTTATGAATCTGCTTTGCAATGCAGGGGACTCAGGTTCCATCCCTGGTAGGGGGACTAAGATCCCATTTGCTTCAGAGCAACTGAGCCCACGGGCCTGTAAGCAGTGAGCCTGCATGCTACAACTAGAGAGTACATGCACCATGAGGAAAGATCCCACATGATGCAATAAAGATCCTGAGTGTTGCAACTAACACCCAACTCAGCCAAATAAATATGAGGTTTTAAGCAGCAGTTCGAAGTTTATCACTGGCAACAAATACTGTCAGTTTTTCTTGAAAAACTTCATTTTGAAAAAAATGTATGCCGAATGCCCAAGTCTTTCTTTTTTTTTGGCTGTGCCTTGTGGCTTGCTGCATCTCGGTGTCCTGACCAGGGACACAGCAGTGAAAGGCCACAGACCTGGGACTTCCCTAGTGGTCCAGTGGCTAAGTGCCTTCCCAGTGCAGGGGGCCCAGGTTTGATCCCTGGTTGGGGAACTAGATTCCACATGCCAAAAACTAAGTGTTCTGGAGACTAAAAAAGATTCCATGTGCTACATTGAAGAGTAAAAATCCCACTTGCTTCTACTAAGACCTGGAGTGAAAGTGTGAAAGTCGCTTGGTCGTGTCTAACTCTTTACGACCCCATGGACTGTATAGTCCATGGAATTCTCCTGGCCAGAATACTAGTGTGGGTAGCCTATCCCTTCTCCAGCGGATCTTCTGGACCTAGGAATTGAACTGGGGTATCCTGCATTGCAGGTGGATTCTTTACCAACTGAGCTGTGAAGAATGAATAACTAAATAATACCTGGAACAGCCAAATAAATAAATATATATAAAAAGACAGGCTAGAACCCTAACCACTAGACCTCAGGGAATTCCCTGCTCAGGTCTTACTAAGTCATTTTTATCAGTCTTTCAAGTAAAACTGATGGTTCATTTTTATCAGTCTTTCAAGTAAAACTGATGGTCCGTGAAAATTGTGGCTACTACTTTCCATAATTCACTCAATCACAAGTGCTTTTCCTCTTCACAGCCATACTATGCAACAGAAGCCGTTTATGCACCTTCCCTTCTTGTCTTACAGAATGTTGAAAAGACATGTATTTGTGTGTGGAAGTTTAATAAAATTAGTTTTTATTGCATCATCAAGGACATTCATAAGTTAAACTGGCTTCCCTTTTTTTTTTTTTTAAACCAGCTGAGCCACAAGGGAAGCCCTCCCTTTTCTTTTTTTAAACTGTAAGGGAGTGGCTATATTTTTCTGACTTTGAGGCATGTGGGATCTTTAGTTTCCCAATTAGAGATCAAATCCAATCCCCTGCATTGGAGGTGCAGAGTCAACCACTGGACTGACAGGGAAATCACTGGTTATAGTGCATAGAGGACCACTAGTTCACTTTGGTATCACTGCCTTGATTCCTGCTAAGGCAACAGCAGTTTTACTAGCCACTGCTTTTCAACCATCAGTACAGATGTCAACAGAGTGAAAAGGGCAAATAAACTCAGAATTATTATGAAAATGGTTTCGGTCTTGTGGAATTCCTGTAAAGATGATTCGCACCATTGTGAGTTAACTGCTGTGTTTTGTCTGTTTCTCAGCTAAATCTTGGGGTCTTCGGGAGCAGAGATACTGCCTTACACATCTTATAGTTAATCTTTTAAGGCTGACCATGCAATTCCTTGCCCAAAGTGGCTGCTAGTTTGGTTGAATTTCTGTGGGTGTGATGGTTAAATTGGCGTTTTTACTTTTTTTTTAATTAAAAAATTTCCCCCTTTAAAAATCATAATGTGTATGCATAAGATTTACCATCTTAGCCAGTTTTAGGTGTATAATTCAGTGGCATTAAGTATATTCATAGGATTGTGCAACAATTACCACTCTACATTTTCAGAACTCATCCATTACCCAAATGTAAATTCAGTACTCATTAAACAATAACTTCCCATTATCCTCTTCTCCAGCCCTGGTAAACCTCTATTTTACTTTCAGTTGCTATTCACCTCTTCTAGGTACCTCATATAAGCAGAACCATATAACATTTGCCCTTTTTGAATTTTATTCCATTTAGCATGATGTCTTTAAGGTTTGTCCAAATTGTAGCATGTGT